CAATTCACATTTACTGCCAAAATTTTTCGCTTGCAAAGTCATCGTTTCTTTGGTTTGCGAATCAAATGTCGGGTTCTCAATTAACGCATTTACAAACACCCACATGTGATTTTTGATCTGAAATTTTTTTTCCATTTCACACTTGAGCATTTCATTAACAACGGCAATGTATTACAGAAGAAAACGGTTTTTTGACCAAGTGCTTACCTGAAACGCTTTCACATTGATTCCACCACTTTTGCCCACTTTCTTCTTGATAAGATCAATTAGTTTTCCAGTAATTTGCTCGGTCACGTAGTCCACGTGACGGCCACCCTGAAACAACAACATTGAGAGTTCTACCACGAAGCCCATTACCATCGCAATCACCAATTTTCCAGCAGAAACAGGGACGGGAAAAAATAACAATAGCAGAAAAAAGCCCGAATCCACTGATAAAAGAGAAAACCTCAACAGACTGAAACGAAAAGACTATACGAAACAGAAAACATAAAGAGATCCAATTCTAGGGGAAATTAGACACCGAACTATACGAAATACAAGAGAAAATGGATCTTGGTATACACCAAGCGGAAAAACGAATCTTAACAGGCAGCATGAAGAGAAAAAAATCCTACGAAACACGAAGGGAAGACCGAATCCCAGCAAATAACAGCGGGAAAATCAAATCCCAACAGGCACCAAAATAAAGATCGAATGATTAGATTTACCAGGGAAAGCGAACATTAGTAAGCACCAACAAGAGATCGAATAACCACAATCATCAAGGAAAAAATCTAATAATCTATCGCGACCCTAAAAGTTCCGGACCCTAAAATCGCGACCCTAAAACTCTGGAAAGCCGAAGCTTCTCAAAACAAAGTGGTGAACGACGACTCTGGGTACCGGAGATGAGAAGCAGCGTATTTGCACCCCAATGGTCAGAGATCACTGAGACTGCAAAACGGAGTAGGGTGCCCAAAGGTTGAACGGGGGACCGGGAATGTTGCATCACAGTGACGCAATTGCTCCTTACGTAATTTCTAACAAAAAGCCATAAATTACTATGTGACATATTATGTAACAAAACGAATACTTCTTAAATCCAAATTTTATGAGGCATCTATGGGGCCAGACCTCAACAAATATCAGGTGTAATGGAACCTTTAGAAAAGTGGGTTTTTCAAAAACAATAAAATATGTAACGAACCTTCGTGGTTGCAATAGAACTGGCGAATGAAACTTGCTGAAAGCCTTTCTCCGAAACAGTCATAGCCACTTCCCAACGCTCGTTCACTTGCTCAAAGGCTACCTTATAGGGTTCGCCATCACTGTCCAGATTGTGCTTCGCATATTGATCCACGTACTGACGGAAGCCTTGTACCTAAACCAAGATTTCGCAGTTACCTAACAACATTTTTTAATGCATGTTAAATTATGATGCATGCAATCGTGCCTCCCAAAACAACTTCCGATATTTGTGCATTGTTGGACAAACGCATCGGATTTAATTCCCACCACAAATCCTATTATTCCGTGTCGCGAATTAGCAATAGAACGGTATTTCGAAATGGGAAGGAGAGTGGAAGAGAAAATAAAACTAAGAAATTAGTAGAATTATTTCAATGAAATTATTATAATCGCAAGAAACGTTTCGATTCATTAAGTCGTATACATTTCTTACCATTATCACAACTGGACCACGAAATAATCGATTAAAAAAAAGTGTATTAAAGCAATTTTTAAGTCGTATACATTTTTTGCCATTACCACAACTGGACCACGAAATAATCGATTAAAAAAAGTGTATTAAAGCAATTTTTAAGTCGTATACATTTCTTGCCATTACCACAACTGGATCACGAAATAATCGATTAAAAAAAAGCTTATGAAAGCATTTTTTTCTGAGAAAAACTGAGAGTTTGGAAGCGATGTCATAAATGTAGTAACACACAATGCAAAAATACAAAAAATCGTAGTGGAATATCTACGGCGCAAAAATGCGGCGCAACAGCAGTTGCTCAAAATGCGGGAAAATGAAGGGTTCAGCACAGGTTGCTTGCATTTAAAACTTCATCTTACCGTTCAGATACACTTTGACGCCTTTTGTGGAGCCAGCTACGTCGTATGCTCGGCGTGACATCAGCGCCACGATATCGTCGTCCAGTTCGCTCATTCTAAATTTCGCCAGATCCGGTTTGAAGACGACTCGCGTGAAATCCTCGCCAGATGCTTTGGTTACAGATGGATCCTTGTCTTTTGTCATGTTGTCTTTCCATGTCTTAAAAAAACATACACACTCTACAAAAAGCTTTGGAAAAGTGCCAAAAAAAGCACCAGATATGAAGAGCTTGAGAACCTGTTTGAATGATTTGCCGTATTCTTTGGAGGATGTTTCGATGGTAAATTCCGAGCTAAATATATTGCATAGCTTGGCACCATATCCATTACGGCCGCCTGCAAAGTGATCTCATTGCTAGGCATAATGAGGCCGGACAACGTGTAAACAGAGCGGCTCGCAAAAAAAAAAAAAAACCACGCAACAACCCAACCCTTCCTCTTCCCTCTCGCTTTAGCTGGAATCAGTCAACCGTCTCTACCACTCCCTACACGTCATTAAAAGTCTTCACAGGGGACAGCTGCGAGCGCAACCCCGCAACTGGTGTGACCCGACCACAAAACTGTACCTGTAACTTTTCGCTCTGAATCATCGTAGTTCGAGGATGTGAGAAGTGTACCAAAGATGAGTTCAGGCACGTAAACTTGCTCCACTTTGTGCAGCACTACTGGAATGCCTTTGCCGTTGTTATATATGCTGATCTCGTTCTTTTCCCTGCAATAAAAAGCTGTGTCCTGATTGGCACTCACATCTCAACGACACAGAGTTGTTACATAATATGTCAAACAATGATTTATGGTTCTTGTTCTTTAGATCGAGGACGATCCTATCTTTCGTTTGTAAGAATTTCATATAATATGTCGCATAATAATTTATGATTTTTTGTTAAAAATTACGTAAGGAACAATTGCGTCACTACTATGCAATACCCTTGGATCTTCGGTTCAACTTTTAGACACCCTATCCCTGTTAAAGTTTTGCAATCTTAGTGATCTCTGACCAGTGGAGTATAAAAACAATCATCCCCATCTCCGGAATCCAGGGTTGCAGTTCACCACCTTGTTCTGGGGAATTCCGGCTTCCCCAAGCCTCGCCACCTTTCTGTATTGTTTTTCTTATTTTACGCGGTACAACTTTAGTTCGTTTACATAATTATATAATACATACCTTGATTTTTCCACACACACACATACACACACACACACACACAAAGAGCACACCACTAGTCTAGTTTATTAACTTTTAAGGTCGCGATAGAGTTATCACCTACCACTAGCATGGTACAGTACAGGGGCCCACCAAATGTTCAAAGCCACTTCAATTCTTGTGTTCTCGCAGGGCCCTATTTAAACGTTAGCGTTTGAAAAGATTTCGTGTTTTCAAGCCTTTTTTAACTGACAATTCCCAGCTGTTAAATTTTAGCCCATTTCAACTGAGTTTTTCATTTCTCTGACAAAAGTTTCGCCTCTTCCCCTCCTGTTCCCACGCCCCTGATTGCATCGCATTTTTGGTGCCATACGGGTCATTTTGGCAAACTTTCACGATATAAAAAAGTGGCTCTACTACAAGCAGAAGGCTATCAATAGCAACATATTTCTCCAATTATCAATCACTTCAATGAACCGCGTCAGCCGGGGAAAAAGATAAGAGGAAAAGCGCTTACTTGTTAATATTAATCTTGATTAAATTCATCTTCGGATCCCGCTGTTTGTTGTCCGCTGCATTTACCAGGATTTCGTCGAAGATTTTGTAAAGTCCCGGAACATACGAGATTTCACGCTGCACGATTCGTTCTGCTTGCGCATCATAAATCCACATAGGCTAAAAAAATCAGCATCGTTAGCTGTTATTTTGGCGGGATGAGCTGCTTAAATCGTCTCTGGGAAATAATTATTCAAATAAGATGGTTAATATGAAAAAAATAAATTTAAGAAAATATAAATTCGTTGAACATACCGCTTTATCAGTATGTTCCACCGATCCGATATAGGTGTCCGGACGTAGCAAGATGTGTTCCAGCTGGCTTTTCTTCTGATAAATCTTCTCGATGCTCAGTTTTTTCGGCTCCTTATCAATGTTCGTGAAAACATCCAGCGGGTTTTCACCTGTGTCCTGTTTATCACCGCTCATATTTGCTGCAAAAAAAAAAAAAAAAAAATGAATCAATATGTTGTTTAAACAAAGTAGCTCCCAGGTTATTCTGGTCAGGAACTACGATCAACTGAAAAATGCTTGTAGATGGGCTATTTGCTGTAACAAAACTTCAAAATACGGCCGATTTTCTTAAAAGTGTCTTCTAAACGGAACGGCTGGGCCCTTTTCTTCATTACAACTGTATTCAAAGTAATGAAGTACGGATGCGAAACGTGGTCACTAACAGAAGT